GGGGGGTTGTATTTTAGGAATATGGTTTCGACTGTTGCCAGGAATTTGTACAAATCCACCTGGTTCTTTTCCACTTCCTACATGCATATTGAAGGGATAATAATGTGTAAAGAGTACTCCCACGACGTTTCAGGGTAAGCAAGTCTGGCTGTGCATGATATTGATGAGCTGTCCCTGAGATTTTATGTACCCCTCATAATTAAGCAAAATCTGATAATTTTTGGCATAATTTCTGAGTATTTACCGTTATCATTCTTTGTTAAAATTAACAGAATCGCAAAATTCCACATTTTTGGGCTCAGGTTGAATAATTTCAATTTTTTTTGTGAGCATGAAACTGCGTGGGCAGGATGAGACAGACCACTGGGATAAGGACTTTACTTTTCCAATCCAGCGGCGATCTGGGTTCTAGCCCTTCGGCCTGTCGATATGGCAAATCATTTACAGGGCAGGTAAATAGGTGGTGTGATACTGTACCATCATGACTAGGATAAGGACAAAAGGACCATCACTTTGTAAACAAACCCCATGAGAATCAGAAATGGGAGGATCGAAAGCCACGTAAAAAAATCTAAATTAAAAAAAACCCAACTGAACTTCATGCGCCATTGTAAATAATCCAGGTGCATCATCATCATCATCATCATCATCATCATCATCATCATCATCATCATCATCATCATCATCATCATCATCATCATCATCTGTAGCAGCAGCAGCAGCAACAGAAGAGGAGGAGGAGAAGAAACAGGATGAAAATAAAGATTTAAAAAAGACAGGAAGTAGGAAGAGACGTTGGCGGATTACTTACGTTCTCTCTGGACTGTGCAGACTCGGCTTTCTGTCTGGTGAGGTATTGAAACCAGCTCCACTTCTTGGAAGCCGCCGTCTTCTTTTTTTGCGGCTTGAAAGGAGTGAGAGACTGGAAGTTGCAGATCTAGGTGAGGAAATAATAATATTCGTCACTACGCGGTGGAATCAGGCTCTAGTCAATTTTTGGGCATGCAGAGTCATTGGTATTATCTTAAAGCTTGTTCATTTGTCTTGCTTTGGATGAAAAAATATCAATTTATCTTGAATACAAGTCGACATATTTGCGAATGAAGGAGGTGGGGGTCGCCTGGTTACAGAGATGAAATAAGTGAGAAAATGGCCGCCAAAAATTGGTTATTTCCTAACTTGAGAGTCCGTGGGAACTGAAAATTTACATTTTTTGTGCCTGTAATCAACATTTTTCAGTTAAATCTACAAAGAAATGTGTTCTTTTATGGTCATGAAAAGTGCTGAGCCAAAAAACAAAAATTTGATAAAAATTCAAGAACCTGCAAAAAAGATTAAAAAACAAATAAATAAATAAATGCCAATTTCTTCACTTTGATTATTTTGACGAGAGCGTGATTTCACCAGGCTACCTCCCACTTTCGACTTGAATTTACAACTCGATTTTGATAAGTTACGAAAGACTCGGTATGAATTTAATAAAAAGCGCTATAAATAATATTTGTTAAAATCTACAAGGAGAAAGGTAATTTTAAAATTGCAAGTTTAGATAGAAAGACCCAGCCTAGAATTGTTTTATTGCTTTCAGATTTTTTGGTGTTGATCTACCACAGTGGCTGGGAAGCTATTATCAGACCCAGTAAACAGCACTAAACAAGGGCAGAATATAAGACCCATACCCTACACCGCCCCCTCTTCCCACAAAACCACTCTTCCCGTCACGAACAGTCTCTTGTTAACTTAAACCCCGTTTTCTATCTGTACTTAATCCCCAACACGTTATTTGTCAGCTCTACCTCACTTGATTTCTTTACCTTCAATGAATTTGTTAAAAGTTTTTAACCCCCCCCCCCCAAAAAAAAAACAACAACAAAAAAACAACCCCTAACCCCCCTCCCCCGAGAAAACAACGAATATACAAACAAAAAAATCCGACACATTTCTGTGGCTTCTAGTTTATTTTCACAACGTTTGGTAACTACCCAATATTCCCAGCAGCACACATAACCTTTTGTAACTCTTATTTTGGTTATCATTGAAGTTTTGCTATTAATCTTCCAGGATTGTACTCATTTCATTGAAACTTAGCAGCTATTGTGGTCATTTGGCGTCGCATGTAATTACAGTTCTGAATATTTTAAACCGTTGAACTCGTTTGATTTTCCCCCCCTTTGCTTATGAGATAACAAATTGTATGATATACTGCATTTTTATATATTACCATGGGTTCTGTCCTCTTTAGGGTCTTTCCGTTCACTTTCCGTCACAATAATTTTAGGTTGTTTTTGTTGATTTTTTGGGGGACTTGTCTTGTCTTGTTTTATTTTATTGTTAGTTTGTATTATCTGTGTATAAGCGTGGGGGGG